ACCACTCATAAAAAGACATTTATGATCAACTATCTGCAGCTGCAACAATTTTATAAATCAGTGACCAGTTTTCTTTTAATAAAATAATAATAATAAAATATTTCCCTGGCTAATAAATAATAATAAATTAATCAAAACTGAGAAGCCACCAAATTTTACCTTGGTAAGTTGATGTAAAACCAGAATGCTGCTTGATATTTAAAAAAGGTTTAGAACATTTGTTGAGATATACAAGAGATAATGTCCTTTATATTGTTCTGACTGCTTTTAAATAACCTTAAATCCTATAAATTTTATGTATCAGCAGCATCCCTGCTGCTGAAGACAAACTTTACCTACAGCAACTATCTATCACATACCATCTGTAGCATGTCCACCTTTACTGGTCTTGCTAGCCATGGACTCTGTCACACCAATTAGAGGAGAGTACCTACACAAAACATTTCCTTTCCCTTTCTTCTATGCTTGTGACCAATTCTCAACAGGCCAGAAAATCTATAGCTTGGCGTTTAGTCAAGGCTTTAAGTCGCTGCAGCAGATGTGGGTTTAAGTAAAGAATCCAATAACACCATGTGCAATCAGTGACTTGTCATGTTTTATTACACTAAATCAGCTGAGGGCTGTTACAATCTCCACAAATGTCGCCTAAGCTCTTTAGTTAATAGTAGACATAAAAAAGGAGCTTTTGTGAAAGCTGAACAAACACTTGCTTCTTGTTTTTATCCATACTCTTTTTCTTAATTGAGTTATTCTTTTCTGTATCATTTTCATTAAAGTTTTTTTTTTTATGTCATCTTACATCGAACTTAACAGTATTTTTCTGTTTTGCAGTCAGTGTTTCTACCTTTGTGGTCAAAGAAGAAAGCATTTAATTTTTACCTGCAATGTGCACAAAGGAAACGCCCAGGAAAAACATATTTAACATTTTACAAGGGTCAACAGCAACAAAATGTGTAGTATGATCAAATACTTTTTTTCATCAAAAGAAACAAGACTAAATACAAGTTCTAAAATATTTACAGTTTTAACTTTTCAAATGTAGCTTAAAACTGTTACCTTAGTAAGGATTATTTGTGGAAATATTGGCTATGTTTTCAAACAACTGTATATGACTTTCACTATGTAAGGGAGAAATGTTTTTGCCTTCATTCTGCCAGACACAACTTTCTCCACTTATGTTTCGTCTCTGCACCTCCCCCCCTTGAGCAAACTTCATCCCACCATATTAAAAGTGGAAATGTATCCGCTTCTATTGCAATTACAAACCCACTGGAGGCGAGGCTTCTTGATCTCTGCAGGAACCTTGCTTGTTTTTCCTTTTCTGTGCCTTTTCTTGCCGCTCTCAACCAACAGGACACATTCATGCTGCGATATCAGTTTTGTTTTTCTTTTCTTTTCTTTCTGTAGGACATTTTCACATCTAATAAGCTTGAAATCAAAACAGCATTTAGGGAGGCAATAAAACGATGCAATAAAAATGAAAGGTTTTTGACTGAAGGAGTTTGTAGAGTGAGAGAAAGTCTGCTTCAGCTAGTAAGTGAACTGAGGGATATGTGCTTCATATACAACCCAGTATGTTTTGCAAATAGTATCCCTGTCATATAAAACAAACACGACACACTCAAATACTGAAACATGTTTTAGTATTGCATGGAAAGCTTTACATTGGGGGAAACTTGGTTTCTGCAGGGTTCAAAAGAGAAGGCAAAAAGAAAACCACCATCCCTATTCTTCCATTAAACATGCACATCAAAGCCAGGCAGATTTTACACTAGTTTAAGAGCAGAGGGTGAGGAAGAGGGCAAGAGTCTGATGACCCCAAAGTGCTCTGTAACCCAGACCAGTCAGGTTCTACTGTAAGATGTGAGGTTTACCAGCTTCCCACAAAAACAAAAGCATATTCAGGGCAAACAGAGCAGTGTGTGTGTTCTTGAGAATGTAGGTCTTGTTTCCAGATTGTCCTGCTGACTGGGAATATTTTCGGGGATTTTTCATCCCTATTCAAGTGATGTCGTTGCTGCATGCAACATGTATTTTCCCAGTTTCACCAAAAACAGTAATGCTGTGATGCTTTCTAAAACACAGCCCTTCAGATTCAGACCATAAATCTTTAGAAGCAAGTCACTGAAATGAATTCATGTCAAATATTTGGTTGATTATATGACTGTCTTATCCAATAAGAGCCCAGTTTTTATCTTAAGTATCAGATTTTAAATGCTTTGATCTGAAAAGTTTTTTGGTTTTTCTCCTTGGAGGTTTCTCATCTCCTTCAACCATTTCAGACCTACAGTTATGTAAACCAAAATACACACCATGATTTAAAAACTTATGGCGCTAAATACAGCAGTTGTTACTCTCAGTAATTGTTTGCAACGATACAAACATTTTCTCGCATTAGTTCTGCACAGTTCTATTAGGGTCCTGCCAAAGCAGATTGATCATCCGTCTGGAGTTTAAATGAATCATTGTGACACTTTAATGCCGTTCTTTTTTTTTCAAGCCCTCATTTTCCTGTTTTACCATCATGAAAAGTGTACATTTGCAATCAATAAATTGTAATTTTTTTGTTTGCACGCACACACACCCACAAATCTTACATTATTTTCAGCCTGTGAAAGACAAAAGAAACAATAAAATACTATAACTGAGGTTGTTAGTCTGTACACTTTTAAATCAAAGAGAAATTAAGTTTAGTTTCTGTAGGAATCTGTAACTAAGTAGTAACTGTAGTCAATCAAAGGTCGTGGGGGTGGTTGAGGATTACAATGACTTTAAGCCCTTCAGAGGACCGACTGCCACTGAAAGTAAAAAGGACTAACATTTGCAAAAATTGTGATACATGACAGAGCGCTACAACAATACCAACCACAACCACAGCATTTCTGCCAGTCATGTGAAATTTTATGTTTCGTCTTTTTTTGTGCATGACCGGGATCAAACAGCAGAGCTCCTCTGACTCATCCAGTGGCAAAAGTCTGCGGCCTTGCAGTGTTTGTAATAGTGACAATTGTGTAAAGCAAGAGATTGGGAGAGAAATCTGTCTGTACCGCAGTCACAAAATGGAAATCCGCTCCTACTTTCTAGAAACAAAGAATGCTTTCAGGTAACATTAAAAGGCATGAGTTGTGTAACATGCAGCTAACATAGAGCGATGGTTATCGTATCTAAATCCAGTCCAATTTCATTTTGTGCATGCAAGCGCTTTAGGGAAGTCTCAACATGCAGAGATGAGCAGATGGGAATTAAGGTGGGGCATATTTAAGTTGAGATTGTAGTCACGGAAAGCTGGAAAATTGAGAAACGTGGTGTGAGGGCTTGTAAAAATCATTTATTACAGGAAGAAAAACAGAGCAATAACGCTCTATGATTCTATTCTTCTCCCAAAATGTTTAAGGCACTTTTGGGATGCTTCCATGTTTTTCATTAGTATTTTTTATTTTTTTTACAAGCAGAAATTCAGAGAATGGTTTTGCGTATAGATGCATAGCAGCGCTGTTGAAGTTGTGCTATAGAATTACTACTTGTTTTCCTCGTGCAACCATGTTTTATTATGAAATGGTGTGTTAAAGATGAAGGAGTGCTACAAAGGGTTTGGCATAATATATGTTATATGTAGGCTAAAAAGTTTAATTTTGGTTTCATCTGACCAGCACATCATCTTCCACATATGTCACCTACATGGCTGGTGACAAACTACAAACAGAACTTATTGATGTCTTTATTATATAACAATTTTCTTGCTACTCTTCCATAAAGGACCATTTTTTTTTGCAGAACATGACTAAAGTCAACTTAGTTGACAAATTTTTCCACCTAAGCTGTGCATCACTCCAGCTCCTCCACAGCTACCATGGGCCTCTTGGCTAATGTTCTGGTTAATACTCTCCATTCTCCACATGACAACCAGGTCTTGGATGGTTCAAAGTAGAGCAAAGCTGTTTCTTTCATCAGGTGATGGATTCAACAAATGTTGAAAGACTGGGCTCTTTTTATAAAACCTAAAGCTGCCTAAAATTTCCCCACAACAATTTCCATGGCCTTCATGGTGTGCTTATTGGTCTTCATGAAATCAGCTGTTTAATAACATTCTCAATGAGTACTTCACACAAAAAAGTCTGGATTAAAACTGATCTTAATTTACAAACAGGTATAATCTTTGTACTAACTGGGTGACTTTTGAAGGGAATTGACTGCACTGGATTTTATAAATTGCAACGTCTTTCTCAATATGTCCACCCATAACTACAACTTCCCTTTCTGCTTCTGGGGAACAGGGATGGAAATATTTTTTCTTCTCCTAAACATTTAGATGAAACTTTGAAGCCAGCATACGACCATTTCTATAAAAATGGGCATTCATTTATTGTTGTATAAGTAATAAAATCCCTCATGCGTCCTGTGATTTTGAATCTGACATGATATAACAAGACATTCAAGATCTTCTCACTTTCCTAATTTAGTACAAGCTTTGAAAAAAAACAAACAATGTAAAATCAAAAATATATTGCATGCAAAATCTCTAGTTTGTTCTAACGACCAAAACTGTGAGCAAAAGGAAACGGGAGCAGAAAAGTCAAACCAGTCAGACTGTGAAAAAGGAGTAAATTCCTAAGATAATAAGAGAAACGTCACAGAAGTGTCTCTGTGTCAATCAGCCTCCTTAAGCATGATCAGTGCAGGAGACGGATGAAATGAAAACAAATGAAGTAGCAGAAAGGAGGAGAAAATTTAGCAGTCACATGAGAAGACAAGCGAAGGGAGGGGGAAGCTAAAAACTGGAGGGGACTTAAAAGGAAAGCCTGAAACAAAAACGGGAAAACACAGAAAGAAGCCAAAGAAGAATAACAAAAGGTATGAAAGTAGAGTACATTATGTGTGCATACTGAAACAACTTTACCCTTATAGAAATAGCCACTAATGGTTACCAGAAAGAGGAAAAAAGAGAGGCAGGAAAAGCACTGATGTATTCCTCCAGCAAACGAGCTAAAAGCATTACTCACAGATGTATGGGCAGTGCTGAAGGAGTAGCTTGTGTGCGTGGAAGGAGGGTGGTGATGTCGATGTTGTTGATGGTGAGGTATATATTGCTGAAGACTTGCGTGAGTGAAGTGGCTGCTCAAGCTTTCTTGACCACCACTGACACCAGAGGCCCAACTGGAGCTGATGGCAGTTGTCTTACTGCTGTGGTACCCTCTCACTGCTGTGCTGGGCTGAAGGAGTGAGACAGGAAGCATAAAGAAGAGAAACCAAGAGGGAGACCAGAAATTAATATTCGCATCGAGAAAAATCACAATGAAGACTGTGAGCACGCCTGGTTCTGCAACAGGCAAGCGCTGACTGCTATGTGCACTCTTGGTGACCTGTGTTAAGAGAGAAAGCAGGATGTTGTTTTGATCTGAAATCTCCATGCCAGACCAACAAGATTGTTCTCACACGTTCTTTTCACGCAAACTCTCTTTTCCTCCCTCCCTCCTTGGTTCTCTCCAGGAGCACCAGATGTTGTGAAACCCCCTTCTGTCACGGTTGAGATGTGTTCTTTCTGCAAAAATGCTGATTGGTTTGATAAAATGCTTGGATCGTGGGCAGGCAACAGGCTTCTCAGTGTGACATTATGTGCTAGGTATCAACAGGGTTCAGGAAACACGGGCTGAAGCTGCTGACACTCTGACTTAAATTGCTGTGAGATGAGTTTACTGTGGCTGTCATGTCCACTGCAGCAGAGAAGAAAAAAAAATGGGACACACATGCACACACTGATTAAGGTATTTTAACAAAACCTTATGTAGAAATCTTAGTATTTGCAAAAACTGAATTTGTTTACTCTGCAATGCATTTTACAACAGCATGTAATACTGCATGAAGTTATAGTTCTGTTTTAGATTATTTTTGCTTCTTATGAACAGATATTACTTTAATTGATTTTAACTAATGGATGCTGCAGTTAAACTTTTTAAATATTCTATAAAACTGTTTGCAAACAAAATAACTTCAGAAACCACGTTCCCTTGTTCTTGCATTCAACATAAAGATGAATTAAAGACACAGAGGGCAACTTTTAAATCTACTTTGTGGGTTTTAGAGACATCCAAAGGCTCAAGCTATAAATCAATTGAATGGAAATGCATTTAAAACCCCAACATTGTAAACATCACATAATTTAATGACTTGTGTTTTAGGTTTCTACTGCAAAGTTCCTTCCAATACCAAAAGCTGTGTGACAGAGTATGTCACAGAAAGTCAGTTATGAATAATTGTTTGCATAATTACTGTCACTTTTACAAGACCCCCATACACAAAATATCCCATCATTGTTAAAAATTAACTGAATTTTACTCAGTTTACTAAACCCAAAACTTAAAGATTTAGTAAAGTGGCAAAAAAACTAAAAATAAATCACAGACACTCACCAGCAACAGCAGTCAGAAGGAGGGTATGTTTAGTGACTCTGATTTCAATTAACGCACTGATCAGGATGGGTCCTGATCGATAATGTCTTCCTATGTGAGTAATGTGAGCCAGGGGGGAGCCGAGAATTGTAATGGATTACTTTAATTATTTGGATTTACTCAAACAATGGAGTCAAATTACATATTATTTGAACATCCAACAGCCGCACATGATTTACTACTACAAGTGAACATTACATCCAGAGCAAACACAAAGAACTTTGAATTAAGTTCAGCTGCATATCACTAGTTACTGCTAACTAGTAATATACAGTTGATGGTAGCCTTTGTTAGATTTTCACTGAGGTCAAAGGCTATCCCACACATGAGTTAAAGAAAAGCTAAGGCATTAAAACAAACTCGCAGCTGTGCTTACAAAAGCTTTCCAGGCCCATATTCTTCATCACTTATGATCCATAGGGAAAAATGTAAGGGCTAGCGCTGCATAATAAGTAAAATATATAACGACAGGTTTAGGGTTCACGTTAATATAAAACAGGACAAGTCTGCTTCCCATAAAGCAGCACAAACCAATTTACCACGTAGAATCTGTGGTTAAAAAGGAGTCCCGGTGGCATAATAAAAAACATAAAATGTGAGGAAAAGAACAACAATGTGTGAGGAACCTGCTTAAAATAGGAAATATCAGCCTAAAGACAAAAATGAGAAGGTGAACATTTTTCCTGCTTTTAACACAATCAAAGGCTCAGTCGCAGGGTTAAATTTGAGAACTGTGTGGGAAGGAAGGACACATCATTTTAAGCTTGATCCCACTGAATCAGGTTACCGAGAGCTATAAAGGCATTCGCACATTCAGACACTGCTACTGTAAAAGCCAGAGGGGAAGGATAGCCTTGAGTATGGTACATTAAGCTGCATGGTCAAATACGCTTTTTAACGCAACTATTCACCAGTTCATAGAGTTTAAGTGCTGCCTCTAGTCATGCAACAACCTCCAGTGGCCTTATAAATGGGGATCATTCAGCCAAAGAGGAGGTATTTCAAACTAATGCACACACTGTATGCAGAGGTATTTTGTTGAAGACTCTATCCCAAGGCGGCACTAAATTAGAAAAAAATGTTTCATATGCCCAAGTTGTACAGAAAAAAGGGGGTCATTGGTGAAACTGGTTTAAGGGTGCATGGTTTATATTCAGCCTTTAAATCACAGGGCAGGGTGATGCTTTTACACTGCACTGATATCTGACATTCCTCTACCAGAATGCATGATTGGTCCCCAGACTGAAATTCATGTCACAGACTTTCAACACCTCATCAGAGAGCTGCAGTCGCTCCATATATCTCTGGCTTATAAAGGGATATAGTTACACTTGCTATTTTTGCTTTAAGGGGGAATGTTTTACATATTAGGCAAACAGATGTATGTGTGTCTGTGCTTCAGTGTGCATTTATGTATTGCTTATGACAGTAACTCCATTTTCAGTCTGTCCCTCTTAATGGCAGCCCATGCCCTCAAAGGATCTACAATAACCCAATAAAAATCATATTCTGCAACACTTATACGGACAGGCCGAACAGGCAGTGGCTTCTAGTACTGTATAGTTTGGCAAAACCATCTTGAAATTATGACTGTTTTGTTTTTTTGTTGTTACACATCAAAATGACAGAATGCTTTACGCACATGATGCTCAAAAAACAAGAAATCTCTTGTGTGTGCACTCAATCACCAGAAGTGAACAAGATTTTCTTCAACTTGTTTTTTTCTTTTTTGGATTCAATGCTGAAGTTTTATCAGTAAAAACTGTCAAGTGAACTTGTTCAGAACCATGCATGATGTTTGTGGCAAAGCAACAATTTTAATACTCAGGTGGAAAACAAACACCATTGGAAATCCTAGGTTCAAATCTTGGATGTTTGTTAAAATTTATATACTATGTGTATGTTTGTTTTTTGGTCTGGTCTCCTTCCATAGTGGAAATAATTGCATCTTCAGCTAATTACAATCCCTGAACTGGCTCTAGGGTGCGGCATGACTTGACCACAACAGGGACAAGACTAGATTCATAGATTTTAAAATCTTACACACAAAAAAATCTAAACACAAAGTTAAGGTTAAAAAAAAAAAGAGCTGAAAATTTAATGACAAAAGATTTTTCTCCCTTCACAATAAATTATGTCTATAATTAAAAACACCTGAACAAATTGAAGCAGATCAAAAGAGCACAGAAAGAACTCATGAGAATGGCAACAAAACCTGTAGGTGACATCTCTTATAAACCTGCTATTTCGTTCAATACGCATGTAAAACTTGAAATTCTGGAAGTTATCAGTGCCAGTTATAAGTGAAAAGGTTGAATAATGCTTCACCCACAGCACATTGTGACTCTATTAACACGCTGAGGAGAACCAGAGCATGGCAGCTCTCCCGAGTCCATTTGTCTGTGTTTAAGTGATTTTCTCCCATCTCTTCTCTCCCTCTGGTGACACATGCATAGTTAGGGCTGTCATAGAATGGCTCTCTGTATACCGCAGTGCACCTCTGCATAGGGGATACAGTTTTATTGCAGATTTAAAAATAACAAAAATAAATCAGACCTGGTTGTCGCAAATGTATTGAAATGGCAAATATAAGCTACGAAAGGAGTTCTGTGAAAGCATCACATTTTTGAATTCAGAAACTACAACGAAATCTTACCTTGGGAAGATCACATAACCCGATCACTGATCAAGTCGGAATGAAACTTTCCCACTGTTAAATAATATAGCGTAATTAAAAAAATCTTGCTTTCTATTAATTTCGTTTTCAGGAGCCCCACCTCCAAAAAGCAGCTCCTTCAAACTAGCCAGAAGCAAATAGCAAACACCTGGTGGAACTGCACATCTTTATACAGCTACTTCTCAGTGAAACGCTGATAAAAATGCCATTTAAGGGTTAATATTTGAGTGATGTGATGACTTTCTGAAGGCAGAATGTCAGAAAGAGCAAGAGTTTCATAAAGTATTAATAAAACTTCACATTAAATTGCAAAGTCAAATTTCTTTTAAGTCATTTAATACATACACAAATTTTCTAGCAACTGAAGCTAACACATTAACTTGATTATGTGATTAAAAAGCATTATGTGCCACTCTAAGATTTTTATTTTTCTCTCGTGGCAGCAGGAGAGAAGCTTAACACAAATAATTATCTCCTTTCTTAAACTTCCCAAGACTTTTGCTATAAATGTGTTAATATTTCTTGTAAAATTAAACAAATCAACAAAATGTACCTTAAATTACAGGATTTAAACTTCCTCCTCTGATAAGTCATCTTATGACACAGTGTTTTCTCTTTTTTCTGAGCATTAAACAACACTGCTCTCTGATAATCGGATCAGCCTGCAGACATTGTGCCTCACAGCCATAGAGCTAAAAATGATTTAGCAGAACAGGAATCTAAGCTGAAATGCCCGGCCATCCTGTTGTTCCTGTTATAACTCTGTGCATCCCAAAAAACTGATCCTCCTTCTAGCCTCCCTATTTTACACAAAACCAATTGAGATTGCTGAATGGATTCAAAGATTTAATTAGCTGACATTAACAGAAAAACCCAAGTCCCTAAAATATGTCAAGTCCAAATAAAGTAATGTGAACATTACTTTCTTTTAATGCAG